CAGCAATGAAGAAATGGCTGAGTTCAGCCATGTTCCATGGACTTCTGCTTACCTGGAGATGAGAGAGAAAAGAGAAAGGACTGGTTGACCCAAAGTGTGGTGAGTCGTGGGGACACCTGAGCCCATGGACAAGGACATAGCCACGGAGGGCTAGAGCTGAGAGTGAAGCATCCAGCTGACATGAAGTGAGGGGAGATGTACAAGAACGCCCAAACTTGCAGACAGTGCCCATTTGACCTAGCCTCGATAGCTTGATGATCAGAACTCGACTAGGGGAAGATGAAAAAACAACTTTTGATAAAGGAAACAAATGAAAATTGCTATAATTTGATGAACTTGACCTATACTTACGGATGTAGTATTTCAAAATACCAACAGAGAGGGAAGGAGTCTTCCCTCAAGTATCAATCCTATCCCCTCTGTATACAAGGTAGGCAGGGACGGGCAACTTAGACACTGGCTACCTAAAATGAGGTGGCGATAAAGGCACAAAGGGACTGGCTTACAAGTTTTCAAGAAGGTAGAATCCCCATTGAATAGTTTTTATCTTGTCTAGACAGGTCTGGTGAAAGGCGATGGTAACAAAATTCTTATGATTCAACAGTGAGTAATTGTTACCATGACTAATCGCAATCGTCACAACTGTAAAGGCAGAAGTTTTGTAACAAAAACAGAGGAGTAGTTAATCTTACAGTCCAGAAACAGAGGACTCTAGGACCATCAAGGGACAGAGCATGAGCAGAATGTGGAACCCCATCCAGAGAAGCAGCAACACCAGAGATGGAAGCAGAGATGAGGACATGGAGAGAAGGAGCAGTTGAGGTCTCTGAACTCATGGAAAGAGAAAGACTGAGTGCTGGTGGCCTGGAGGCAGGCTTGCAGAATGTGCCCTTTAGTTGTTTAAATGATTATATATTCCTGAGTGTTTTTGAGTATACTGTCCAGTCTCACCCACTGCAAAAAAGAAAAACAGAGGGAATAGAAGCAAATATTGTTGAATGATGATGCATGGAGGAGACCGTAATCATTGCATTGAAAC